TTTTTCCGAAATGAAAATTGCTTTATGCGTAGCGAGCGATGAGAATAATCTTGTTCTATCTTTTTATTTGATGGATGGGACACTATCTTTATTTTATATTCCGACAATATTGAGGTCGTCTGTTTTCTTTTGATAGAATATTGGAATTCGTCTGTTCTGCCTCGACGACAACTCGTCTTGATGGAAAAATTGACAGTTTGGACAATTTCGGATAATGACACATTATTTTTCTCTTACGTCTGACAAAATTTTAATAACCTCGTGATGGTTACAACTTTCCTCAAGCCCCATTTTTATTTATTTAACGATTTAAAACGAATCTTTTAATCTCATCTTTTAATCAAATATTTATACATTAACCATTACAGAGCTAAAGATGATCTTTTTGATAAAGAGTTTTGACATTTTTGACATTTGAAAAGTCTTTTTTTCCCCATTTTTTTAATAATAGTGCGGCTTGTTGCCGTTATGGATTTATGAAAGATTTTTTTCCACTTTTTTTTTACTCGAATATTTACATAATTTATTACAAATAACGAAATTTCAGGGTAGTAATTATTTATCTGGTGGCTTCAAATTCGTGTTAACTTCGCTACAGTTTCGCTATTTGGGCAACAATTTCTCTGCCATCGGCTATTGCTGCTCTTGCTTCGAGACACGTTGGCCTTCTCTGCGTTTGCTTACAGCGTAATTATGCATTAAAACAGATCGGAAATCATCCGTTATATTCAATTTTTTCCCATATAAACTCGCCGAATCTATTAGATTTAATATCAAAACTGTTTCCAGCACTTTCTTAGAGCGTGTTAAATGTTAATTACACTCGCCAGTTATCCCATAATATACGCTAATTGCAATATAATTTTCATGCAATTTTTTTTTCTTCCCCTTAGTGATGTATTTTTATAATTCTTTCTTTCGTGCTTTATTATACAATAACGCAGCCTGTACACGTATTTGGCACGTATACAACAAACGGCACTTCGTTCCGTTTGCTGAAGAAAAAAACAAGAAAATTACATGATTTATTTAATTTACGAATTAATGTATCTTAAAAAATCTATCTTTATACGGCTTTATAAAATAATTTATTGAATGGTGAATTTAAATATCTGGCACAAAATATTCTTACATTTTAAGTTATTACATTCTTTATAATATTGCTTTTATAGTCGTTCCAATATTTATCCCCGTGTCACTAGTCAAAAACTTCAGACTATGTCAGCACTTCTATATCTTCCTTAAACTTTGTTTACAAGCCAACAGTTATTCCTTCCTTAAATGTCCCTATTCTCGTAAGACATCGCGACATATTTAATTCACAAAAACCTTTTATTTTCGGAGAGAATTCTTAAAATTTTTACCGAAAACAATTCTTTTCTAGACTACAAAACTTCATAATTCAATTTTATGAATTTTTTTCTCTTCCTTTTTTTCCTTCTTCTTCTAAAAAAATCTAGAACTTTTCTAATTTTTATAATAAAACAAGCACGTATCTTATCGAAGTATTCAACTTTTGGCATATTGGGGGAAAAGTAAATAGTGAAAATTTAAAACCAAACTCATGCACGAGGCACTTCCATTCACATTCATACATTATAATGGACTGACAAGCTTGTATATATTGCACTTATCTTACTCTGTGTTTTTCTATCTTCCCCACCTTCCATCCTAATGGAGCCTCTGTCTGGGAGACCATTTAGCTTCTTTTCAAAAACTTCAGGCATAACAGTAATCGGTTAACCGGTCATCGTTCATATAAAAATCCATTCTCCAACATCACAGAGATAAGAAACTTTTGCTTCTCCATTGACACTTAGTTAATATTATGTAATGGAAGAGTTGTATATGCAAGAGGAAGATTCCATTGTTGAATTTTTTAAATCTTTTGGGAAAATATGGGAGGGAGAAGAAGTGGTTGAAGTCCCCCGAGACATCCGTTTATCCTCGTTCTTTTTTTTATTCTAGGCATTAGACTAGTCTCGTTCTACTGTAAATCTGTAACGTCATCCATCATACACGTCACCTCATGAGCTGGATTTACCAGAAGTGAATGACTAGCATATGACCTCCGTTGGAATTTTACCGTTTTTCTTCCATATCCAGATAATTTCCGTCTTAGAAAAGCAACCATTTCTACTAGAAAATGGGGGAAGAAAAATAAAGGAGAAAAAAATAGCATTGCAAACTGAGAGAATTGTGATTAATAACGCAACTGAGTAAACACAGACAATTTCTTCCTCCGCCTAATTCAATTACCGGAATCCGTTTTAAAATTCAAACAATAACAAATCCCTTATAGTTACAAAACATTCCAAATAGATGGCGCCACAGAATATTCATTATATGAATATTTTTGTATCTATTTATTTTTATTTTATTTATTATTTTTTTTTAATACAGAAAGCTTAAACAATTCCGTTTGTTTTCCTTTATTAATACTCAAAACACACAAATATTTTTACGTTAATTAATAAGATTAGTGTATTATAATCCTCGATAATTGAAAATATTTGAATTTTTTAAAATGTGTATACCCATTTACTTAAATAAAACATCTGTTATAATTAGCTCGCTCTCTCTCTCTTTCTCTATGCATTTTTCATCTTTTCTATTCCTCAAGGGAGAAGAAATAAGATACGATGTCGAGTAATAGAACGAAAGCTTGTGTGCGACTCCAATTATAAAAGCGTACTTCCTTTATTACAATCTCTATAGAAACTAGCTGATTACAAAGACAAAATTCTATTTTTCCTTTAGCTGAATACTATCGATGTTTAGTAATTCGATAAAAAGCATTACAATCTCAGTTTCCTAGTCGGATACAATATTCCCTTCCCCCCGCTACAACTAAATTTCCGGATAAATTTCATCCCGTGACTAAATTAATCACATGGTCGAATTTCGGAAGTCGTCCTTTTCTGATGGAAAGGAAGTTATCTTTACTAATGATACGTGATGTGGCATAACTGGGGATATTCGATAGGGGTGGATAACACCGTATTTATTGTTACATTTATCCATTTGTTTTTCCCCCTATCGACTCCTCCTTAGGAAGTGTGAAAAATTGAGTGAAATTGCGAAATTGTGAATCTAAAAATGACTCAGCTCTCTTTAATATGTGATTATTGTCGGTGGGGGTAGAGTAGGTTTTTCCCCCTCCTCTTTTTTTTGTTCTGGAGGCACCTGCACCTGTTTAAGGGGGTAAAATCCGCGAGATTGCTGAAATTTATCATCTCGAAACATAATTTTTTTAAATACTGTATTTTCTTTTGTATATTTTATTCTGCATCCAATCAAAAAGATGTTAATAAATGATGATACTAATTTAAGTTTGAAATTTCTTACTTATTTATAACAATATATCACATTGTATCCGTGTATGCTTTATTTAACATAATATACAATATAATAAACGTATTATTATGCTATTTTACGCTAAAAAATCAGTAAAAAGAAGCTGAAAAAATAGAATAAAATGCATACTTTACGTTATAACCTGTGTTATACACGTTCATTATGCGCTAATGTAAACGTATGTGTAATTTAATAATATATTTGCATAGATATTTTCGGGTGGGTGTAATTTATCAACATAATTAGCATAAATACATACGATATCTATTATAGTGCGCTTCGTGTATTTTAATGGCTTATTTGCATAAATACATATGAATGCCTACTTTAACGGTAAATTAGCGCACTATACACGTAAATTTATACATTTTACTAGTAAATTAACATATTAAAATTTACGCTTAACTTGTGTATATGTGCAGAATTAGTATGCATATATTGTTACATATAGATCTTGAGGATTACTTAGTGTAAATATGCTACGGGATATATTAACATAAATACATATTATATGAGCAACCGTTTGTATATTTTAATATTGTATAAAATAATAAATATGAATACTGTTTTTAACATTATATACATGTATAATTTGTACAAATNTTTGTGTAGTGTGTGTGGTATCACACCTGTACAGGAGAGAACAACAGGTACAATAACTACCCTATCCATCCTCCACAGATGCCTTATTTCCTGGGCAAGTTCTGTGTACTTGCTAATTTTTTCAGTGCATGTGTTTTGTACATTGTGAGTGTTTGGAATGGCTATATCTAAAATGTATGTGATTTTATTGTGTTTGTCAATGAGTGTGATGTCTGGTCTGTTGTGATAAATTGTTTTATCTGTGATTATGGCTCTGTCACAGTACATTTTGTGCGTGTAGTTTTCTAATACTGTCTGTGGAATATACTTGTAGTATGGTTCGTGAATGTCTACCAAGTTGTGTTTCTTTGCAAGCTCTTGGTGTATTATATTTGCTACTTGATTATGTTGTGTAAATAATCTGTCTGTGCCAAGAGCTTGCACCCAGAAGTGATGTGTTGTATAGTTTCTGGCATGATGTGACATTTTCTGCATGTTATTATTATTATTATACTAAACTGAACATATATCATTAGCCTTTTCTCAATCACTTTTTAAAGTTTATTTTAATTAAAGTATATTTGTTTCTTTAAAAGTAATTGTTTAATGCCTAAATTATTTCAAAGATAATGCTGTTGACTGAAAAAAATTGCCATCCTTGTTCTAGGTATTGCACAACATAAATATTTCAGCAGTAATGTAATATTTATGAAAACAAAATATTAAATAAATGTATCTTTTAAATTGACATTTCCTAACATTTCAATTTATTGTAGCTATGATTGCCTATATACAATTTGAATAAATTCTCTTTTACTATTATAAAAGCAAGTAAAATTTGCAAGTAGTAATAAGTTGAAATATAGCTATAAATTTTATTAATACATGAGCTATCAACTAAATCTAAATTATTCATACTTAATAATATATGTTGTTAAACTCAATAAATGCATCTTTAGACTTTCCTTCATGTTTGGATGTTTTAATTTTATTATATCAAATAAGCTAAGTAAATTTTATGAAAATTTTACCTGAAAAATTTCAAGACTTCTCTTTTACAGAATGGAGCCCTCATTCATAGTTACAAAGGTACAGGTGGAATATTTGAAGTTTGTTGGAACTCCAGAGGTGATAAAGTGGGAGCTAGTGCATCAGATGGAAGTGTAAGTGTTAAATTCTCAATGAAAATTTTTCCAGACAATATTCTTATTCTCTTTATTATTTTTACAGGTGTTTGTTCTGGATTTACGTAAATTATAGCAAGGATTAAAAAACAAAAACAAAGACTGAACATCACTGGTTGCATAGATGGAATACTACAATGTAGTTTTTTCTGTCGTAATCAGATTGGTCTCATCCAAATCTCATCCCTCGCATCAATAACAGCCAATCATTTCATTAAAAAAAAAGGATGAAGTCGGACCCATAAGTGTTTCATCGGCATGTAATGTGGTTGTTTGTTTTATGTAACAGTGGACAGTGCCTTATTAGCCATAATTAATGAATAAAATGGACAGAAATGTAGAATTTGTAAAAAAGCAAAGATGAAGAGATGCCATTGCTATTGTCATTAAACATTTGTATTATAGATTGAACTTCAGAAAAAGAACAGTTGTCATTTTTTATCTAAACATATTCTGTCCTTGTAATGTTGCATATGTTTTTGTGGAAACTTTTGTAAAATACTGAAGCATTCAACCAAAATCTTCCATTTAGTGATATTTTTTATTACTTCCAAATAATAATTGGAGAAATTTGAAAGGAAGGAAAGAAAAATGTAACAGTTATGCCAGGAAAATGATTAAATTAGAAAATACCTGCTTTTAAATTCAAAAAATGAAATTAATTCTAAAATTTTCTTCAATATTAATTAGCAAGCTTGAAAAAACTTTTTTTGTGAAATGTTGCAGGAAATTGCTTCATCAATCTACTCTTCAACTGTCAACAGCAGGAACTATTGCAGGATGACACACCACGGATTCGGTTGCTACAAATGAAAAAGCGAAAGTACCACTTATTCTTCGTACTGTAAAGTTTTTTTGCATCATTGTAGTCCTAGAGACCTACATACATTATATAATTTTTAACATTTTGTGCAATGTGATTGTCTTCTTCAATTTCTTTGATTTGATGCAATTCTGTGCATATTTACTACAGCAATGGAGGGACTTTGTAGATTTTTTTTTAATCCAACAAACAAAAAATTGTTTTATCAATAACTTAATCTAATTAAGGTTCATTGAATGACAATGCATTGGCATCAGCAAAAAAAAAGTTTTGAAACAAATTGCTCCCACAAATAAGATGCCATTAAAAGGTGTATTTTTGAGTAGAAGTGCAAAATGGTGAAGGGGATAGATTATTATGTACATTGTGATTTTATAAGAATTAAAGAAAAAACTCATCACAGTCTGTTACCAGTATTTGATAGTCACACATCAAATTCCCTAAAAAGTACAAGCAAGGTAGAGCCACACACTATAAAGTGGTAAGTCATTTTTCAGGCAAAATGAAGCCGTTAGGAATAAATTAAATTCACATTAAATTTAATTATTTTATAATTTATGCAGTAAATATGTTTACGCCATAAAAAATTCTGTCCCTTAATAAAATGAAACTTCCATCAGTGTCAGATAGAATATATTTTTAAAAATTTTTTCTTGCCTCAAAGTTATTAACAGCATAAAATTCTTATGGATAGCCTATATTAAATTTTCAATAACAAAGTGGACTAATTGATGTGGAAACTAAGTTTGCAGTTGAAAGCAAACTCCAGATTATAATTAGTAAATATAACAAATGACATTAATCAGCATATAATAGATTTGAACATGCTCAATCTTCAGATTTAATAAAATTCTATTGAAATGGCTACAGTGTTGTATTACAGAGTAAACACGAGATGTACCTTTTGTCATATGAGAAATGTTAATTCATTAAGGCTCTGTAATTCATTTTAATATTTTCAAAATTTTGATGTTTATTATACAAAATGATCTACCTTTTAAAAACAAATTAAAGTTTTCAAAAAATTCATAAACATCCTCTTGTTTTGTGAATAGTTTCCACAATGAATAGCATCAGAAAGTTTTAGAATATTAATTAAGAACAGCACACATATACTGATTTATTAGTCTGTTAAAGGTCCTTAAGAATTTTAAACCTATTTAAAAAAAAAATTAAATGCTGCTATCTTAACAAAGCTGTTAAACTGAATAATAAATACACACTTCAAAAAGTTGTTTGTCTTAAGAAGAGATTAAATCAGTTTTTTTTTCCTAATATAAGAAATGTTGAAATAATTAAGTTATAAAAAAATTATTTGCATTAAACTTATCAGATTCTTTATTGTGTGTCATCACAGTAAATTTATCTTAAAATTGATTGATAAATTTTAATGCTATGATCATTTTCCAGTAGTTTAATTTTACGTCGTCATATGGCGCCACATTGACATTGAACAATAAGTAGATCATGTGGAGGATACGAAAAAAATTTCATCTTCGTTAAGTGGAAAAATCGATCGATGGAATTAAATTTAGACATTGATTTTTATTGTTTTTTTTTCCTCCTATTATTATTTTACCGGAAAGGAAATTTAAGATGATCAGAACCTAAATTTTATATTTGTTTTTAGCAATGATTGTTGTTTAATTAATTAATCAAATTTTAAATTATTTATAAATTCATTAACGGGTTCGTGTACTTTATTGGGCGGCAATTTGAAAAAATTGTAGACTTATAAATTTCCACTGTCGTCAGTTCGAGAACGGAGTTGAATGAAAGCTGAAACCGGATATGGAAAGCTTGGGGGCAGGAGACCCCAATTAACTATATACGAATTTCCGTTGAAGTCACGTTGTTTTAATTCAAAACTTTTCCCCTGAAAGGAGTTAATGACTTGCACGATTCCATTGCTAGTAGGAAAGTATGATATTAATATATAGGGACAAGCCACTAATTTGAGGTGGAGAGCATATATTTTAAATGAAATAAATTAAAAATTGCATCCCGGCAGCCCCGTATTTATTATTATTAAATTGTTTGTGTTGTATAAAATTCTATTTTCGCGTTTTATTTCCCCTTTCAATGGCATTTCATCCGTAAATTCGACATTAGTTTCCGATGATATGCACGTTACAAAATTGAATATCGCGTAAACCAATCTCCGCAAAATTTTCATATTACGTCAGAGCCAACGACAACTCCCTATTGTGACGTTTCGAGCGTGAAATTCGGCATAGCGACACCAACCCTCGTTGCGAAAATCCGCCCATTACTACATTCAAACCGTAAAATTTCTATCTCTTACGCCGTTCTTTCACGAAATATTTTCCCAAAAAAAGGTAAAAAAAAAATAATAATAATAGAATTAAGGAGAGCGAGAAAAACTGCAAAAATATCACGTTCGTCACATTAAACACTTTTAAAGCAGTCTACCAACCAAACAAATTTTCTTGCATAAATTTCATCTAATTATAGTTCGAAGGGGGAAAAAAATTTAGTCGACAACTCGCTAGCGTATTGAAACCCATTAACGTGACCCTTCCCTCGCCATAAAACGCAGTTCTTACAATTAAAAAAAAATACTAAACAGATAAAGGCATAAAATAAATTGCGACTTCAAATTATGCCACAAAATTTAAGAAGTGGGGGAAAAAAATACACAGAAAAGGCTATAAAAAGAAGATAAAAACCGCAACACATACTTAAAAAAAAATGTATATATAAAATTAATTTATAAACTCTAAATAATTATTAATGACGTGGCGAATGTCAAAAAGCTGCTCTTTTTTTTACGAGAATATCATCACGGATAAAAAGTTATTTTCGTTTAATTTGTGTCGTGACTTTTAGCCAGTGGAGGAGGCTTTATTGCCATTTTTTCTCTTCTTTTCCCCATTTCTAAGCCACCCTTCGACATGACAGACAATTCATCAGAGGAAATGATATATTGCCAGCATGAAAGATGGCCATAGTATCTTGTAATATTAAGAAAAACAACAATGTATCCCGACCTTTCTACTGTACATTGTCTAACAGAAGATGACGAATATTACGTCACCGAACAACATCCACACGTGATCTGTGACGTCTTAAGAAGAAAAAGTCGATTTTTTTCCTTTTTAATACTTCCTTTAAGCAATAAACTTAGAAAAATTCTTAAAATGTTTTTTCCCCTTAATATATATACAATTTTTCTTTTCTGTATAATTGATGAGAATGATACTTATCATTTTTTAAACTTCTTTTTTTTTTCTTCTTAGAAATTGCTAATTTAGAGAATATTATGAATGTTTTTTTCGAGACAATGTTTATATCCATTATGCAAATACATCAAAGGGATATATTTGTTGGCATATAAGAAAATATTTTAAAAATGCTGAAAGGGAATTTAATGCTGTTCATTCTTTTATATAACAAATTATCTTCAATCTTAATGGTATGTTGAAATTTTTATCAATATTTTTAAAAAGAATTTCGAAATATTTCCTTTCTTTTTTCTAAAAAACAAAAGAAAAAATAATAATAATGTTTTATCAAGTTTATTAACTAAATTAATTTCGAATCGAATTTATTATAATTATTGAACTTTTGGATTGTTAAGGAATAGGATTTGGTGTTTTAAAAATTGATAAAAGAGAATTTTGTTACGTTTTAAATGACATTTGTGCCTTTGGAAATTAGAAGTAATTAAGGAAAAGTAATTTAATCTATAAAAGTATCTTAAAGCAATTAAAATAAAACAAGAAGGGATAGTTCATATAAGGCAGACATTAGAATCCCCAATTGTCTGCTAATTAACTCGGAACGAATTGGCGTCAATCAATAGCTGATTGTCGTAACGTAACGAACTTCATTTCCATAACTGGCAGGTGGCCATTCCTCCAATTCCGACTTCCTCCCAAAGATAGCGCTAATATTGTTAAGATACATCCTGGTAATTGTCCTCCTCCTGCCTCTCCCGTGGGTGGAGTACTCTTCACCGTCACGTGATCGCCTTTTTCATTTCGCGTTGGGAGCGCGCCCATCGAACCCCGCCACGTCTTTTCATTCAATCCACTTTTCCCCACGTGACAATTTTTTCATTCACCTGAAGAGCGCGCCCATCGTTCCACGTGACAAGCCTCCTTATTTTTTTCTTTTCTTTTATATTTCCCCCCTCCCTTTCCGATCTCGTACTCGTCGAAACTCGTGCGATGTGTTTTCATTCAATCGAGTTTTTCACGTGACAATTTTTGTACATTTCATGCTGGCGCGTGCTCCGATTATGACGTGTTTTCATTCATTCGTACTCTTACGATTTTTTCTGGTGTTAAAAAAACGTAAAGTGTAGTTAAATTACGTATAGTTTTTTTATGACGTAATAGTTTTAGACTCGCTCCTCCTTTTCATATGTGACCAGCCTTGTATGACTTATTGTTGTACAGAAGTCATCGCGTAAACTGTACACGTTCGACGCGAACATTAGCAAACAGTAGGCAGAGTTTAATAATTGTTTCGGAGTAAAAGCAAAGCAGACATGCCATGTTTATTTTATTAAGGTTCAATTTATGGCAAAGGTCACGTGAGTCACTTTTCAACATTTCTTTTAACGAACTTTCAACGTTAAGAGCAATCTTTTCCCTATCCATAAACATAAACACACGCTGAAGAATAAGAAATTTTGTACTTTTTATTCTAATAAAGGACCTATTATCATCTAAACTCGCTGTATTATGAAATGATAATTTGTTTTTTCTTTCTTTTTTCTTCTTTAAAGTATAAACTCGGGAGAATTTCCAGTATAAACTCTATTAAGAACGAATATTACTTTGGGCGTTTAATAGGTGGAGAAGATT